ATGGATGTTTCTCTCTCTTTCTCTCTCTAAAAATCAATTAAAATCTACTTCTAAAAAAGTTAGAATTTAGACAGCATGAGTAGAACAGGACTTGAACCTACTGATCCTGGCTTTAGAGCCCATGCTTTTTAACCAATGCATGGAGCCATTCCAGAAAAGGGTGGGGAGTGGTTTGGGTGTTATCCATTGGTTTTGGAATGGAAATCTCACGAGGGCTGGCCCAAGGGTCTCGCCACTTATGGTGGCCCCCATCCCCCTGGTCCCCCCAACAGGAACAGGAGTATTACCTGGTAAAATGGCGTGGATACCCAGAGTCAGAGAGTACCTGGGAGCCACGGCAGAATCTCAAGTGTGTGCGCATTCTCAAGCAGTTCCACAAGGACTTAGAACGAGAGTTGGTCCGGCGGCGCCACCGGTCAAAGCCACCCCGGCACCTGGACCCAAGCTTGGCCAGCTACCTGGTGCAGAAGGCCAAGCAGAGACGGGCACTCCAGCTCTGGGAGCAGGAGCTCAATGCCAAACGCAACCATCTGGGACGCATCACTGTGGAGAATGAGGTGGATCTGGATGGCCCCCCTCGAGCCTTTGTATACATTAACGAGTACCGCGTTGGTGAGGGCATCACCCTCAACCAGGTGGCCGTGGGCTGTGAGTGTAAGGACTGCTTGTGGGCACCTGCTGGAGGCTGCTGCCCCGGGGCATCGCTGCACAAGTTTGCCTACAATGACCAGGGCCAGGTGCGGCTGCGAGCTGGGCTGCCCATCTACGAGTGCAACTCCCGTTGCCGCTGTGGCTATGACTGCCCCAACCGTGTGGTACAGAAGGGCATCCGCTACAACCTCTGCATCTTCCGCACGGATGATGGGCGTGGCTGGGGCGTCCGCACACTGGAGAAGATCCGCAAGAACAGCTTCGTCATGGAGTACGTGGGAGAGGTAGGGAGTCAGGACCATGCGTGTGTGTGCAGCTCTCCCCACCTTGTGTTTCTACTGTGTGCGCCCAGCTCTCATCACAGTGTGCCTGCAACTTTCCTGCTTTCCCTGTGGGAAATGTGGGTGGTGGTGGTGGTGGTGGTGGTGGTGGTGGTGGTATTTAACCCAAGGGCTAGGGATATCCTGGCAGGGGAGAGTATTCCAAGCTGGTAGTTAAAAGCATATTGAAACACTTCTAGACTGGGTTGATTTCATAAGAGTACCTAGCAAAGAGAAGAGTGGGAACTGAAATCCAGGCAGTGTTCCTTTTAATGGGCCATGTGGTCTGCACAAGGTTGCGTTACCTGAAAAGGCATTTCTCATTTTATATGGGTCCGGCTTACTGCTAAGCAGTGTCTTCCCAGAAAGATTGCCTTTTACTAATCTGCACAAAAGAACAGTTAGGAGTAGGACATAGACATGCCTTAAGGAGGTTGGCTGCTTCCTCCTCTAGACTTGCAGGATACTGGAAAGACCAGCTATATTAGGCAGGCTAGCTGCCAGACCAAACAACTCGCAGGTATTAGTGACTTTGCACATGAGAAGTCTGTTTGCTCCTGTAACAGTCTGGCATGGGTGTTTGGGTAGCGTCCTATACAGTGGTGCGGCTACGAGGCTCTTTCCCTCTTGTGCCTTTGCCATGCCTGAGAGCCTTGGAGCTGCCTGTGATCCTCAGCCTTGCCTGGTAAGTAGACTAAGAGTGGGGGGGAGAAGGGGAGGTTCCTAATGGGCCAGGCCTGGACGCGGTGCACATCACGTCTGTCCACCTCCACTGCCTGGAACCGAATCACTGGCCTTACCTCCATTCAGGGCAGGCTGAGAAGTATGACTTAGCTATGTGCCCAGGTGAAAAACAGGGATTCGGGTGAATAACTAGCAAGTGTCTAGTGTCCCTTTCAAAGGTGGGAGGCATTGAGCATTTGGGGTGGGGCAGTTCTTTGTTATGTAGGACCATCTCATGCATTGAGGAACTTTTAACATTCCTGGACCTGGACCATTTAAATCCATGAGTGTGCCCTGTCATGGTGACAACCCCAAATTCCTCCATATTTCCACAGGTTTCTTAGGGGTTGCTATGATTGGGAAGTGACAGAAATTGGCATAAGGGACATACCCCTGAGGATGTCTACACAGTAGTAATGAAACCGATGAAGAGGACAGGCTCCCACTTTGACAAACTATAAAGTAGAGAGGGTCATTGCCCTGAGGGGCAGAGATGATCTGGAGGCAGAGCAGCCCACACTACAGAGAACCCTGACAGTCTGGATGAGGAAATGTCCATACCCCAGATAATCCTGGCGGTCTGGTGGAGGAAATGTCCACATGTCAAAGGACCTGACAGTCTGGAAGAAGAAGGAGGTGGCATTACCCCAGAGGGGTCCTGACAATCTGCAGGAAGAGATGTCCACATCCCAGAGTGACCTAGAGGATAAGAGCAAACGCTCCACACTCCAGAGGACCCTGGTGGTCTGCCTTAGGAGGTGTCCGCACCCACCCTGTCCTGACAGTCAAGAAAAAGAAGTGTCCTCACCCCAGAGGGATTTTGACTGTCAAAAGGAGATCAGGTCTACACCCAAGAGGACCCTAAAGCCTAGAGGAACTGTCCACACCCTTAGGTCCTGACACTCTGGAGGAGGTGTCTAGACCTCCGAGGGATGCTAACAGTTGGGAGGAGATGTTAACACCTCAGAGGGATGTCACCATTCTGGAGGAGGATGTGTGCATACTCCAGAGCCTCTGATGGTCTAGAGGAGGAGGTGTCCTGACCCCACAGGAGCCCAGCAGTCCTAGAGGAAGTCCAGGACAGATAGTGTCTCTAGCCTCACTCTACTGACGATCTGAAGGAAAGGCTGTCTGCAACACAGGATCCTGAGGCAAAGAGGAGGAAGAATCTGCAGCCCCCAGGCACCCCAAAGTCCCCTAGGCCGGGTACTTTTCTGGCTCTTCTTCCTTAGTGTCCTTACTCCTCTACACTGTAAACATCAGGGTTTCCAGGGACTCTCTTGTTCCCTGTCTTTCCTCTTCCTCCTCTCCACACATTCTCTCTGAGCTATTTCTTAGCCTCCCTCCTGCTATATTCAGCAACTTCCAGGCCCCCCTGCAATACCCTCAGACCTGTGGGATCTCCTGATGGCAACAGAGGCCCCCAAACACTACCAGAGCCAAACTCATCTTGCATCCTCCTGAGGAGGCAGCATGGCAAAATGGGCAGGAGGGTGGAACCTGGTGCCCGAGATTGAAACCTAGCTCCACCACTCATCAGCTGTCACTTCACCGCTTTGTGTCTGTCCCCTAATCTGTAGAATGGGAATGATAATTGCACCCACCTGATACACTTGTGTAAGAACTAAAACAGTTTTCTTTGTGTGAAGCATTTAAATACTATTCAGTATAGA